TTCCCAAAGACCAGCGCCTGCTCCCCACTGCCCACTGCCCAGCTCTCGAAGAACGAAGCCTCCTCCCTCCTGCCCGGCTTTCAAAAACCAGCACCCCTTCCCAGTCGCCCATCGACTGGAGCTTGCGCCCCACTGCCCATCACTGCCCGGCTCTCACTCCTTCAGCACTGTGTGTGCTAACCTGAGGAGTAACCTGGCTCTCCGAGCCAGACAAAGGTAGAGCTGAAAGGTTTAAAGCCACCTCCTGTCACAAAGCCAAGCCAGCACTGTGGCCTCGGTCCGCCTCAGTGGCAGGCGGTGCCATGCAGTGGGTGAGTGCCGACTCGCTGTGGAAGTGGGCTCTTTGCAGGAACCTTCTGGCTTCGGGGGGCTGCCTGCCTGCCTGGCCGAGCACGGCCGTGACTGGCTTTTGGGGGCCGCCTGCCTGCTTGGCCTAGTACAGCCCTGTGACTGGGTTTCCCAGGACTCCTCACTGATACTGGACCAGGAAGGAGCTGCGAGGCGGCTTTGTGGAGGACAGCTGACCCTGAAGGACACGTCTCCTGTCACTGATGGGGAGCGGTGACTGGTTCTGTCAGCCTCCAGTGAGGTGGCTTTGCTGTACTGGAGCTGTCCTGGGACAGCAGTGGCTCAGCTAGCGAGGCCTTGGTCCTGAGAGCCACGTGACCCAGCGTTGCTCCTGGCCTCTGCTGGTGAGCTGTGTTCAGATTCCAGGGGCTCTGTAGGGTTGGTGAACGGTTAAAGTGACGGTGGGCGGTGGCAGCCGAGCCCGTAAGTGTTTACAGGTGGAGATGCTTTCAGGATCCACAGATCGGTGTGTGTGGTGTCGTGTCGGCAGCACCAAATACGCGGGGAGCAAGGCACACGTGTCTGTCTGCTGAGGTGGCAGAGGTTGATGTTTCTCGAACCCGTGTCCGAGAGCCAGGGCTGGGAGCTGAGGGCCTGTTCTGGGGAGCCGAGAAGCAGGGTTGGCCAAGGGGACAGCAGCGGTGTCTCAAGAATAAACATGCTGTTGCTTTTGACTTGGCTGTGGCCCCTTAAACCTCCCCCAACACACACAGCAGAAGCGGCTGTGAGCTTACTCCCCACAGTCCCAGTGACCTGTCCTCACGGCCTGGGCAGGGAGGCAGCGATGGGGCCGTGCACCCCTTTCCTGCTGTGACCACCGTGGCCAGAGGTTGCTCCCTCAGACTGGGGAGCACGCCTGGCTTGGCTTCCCGGGGGGGGGGGGTGCATGGGGGAAGGGCCCTTGCTCCTGGGTGCCAAGGCTCCACTTCAGAGACGGCGTCAAGTTTCCTAACGCCCTGGCAGCTGTCGTGACATCCTGGAAGCTGCTGCTGGCTAGACGAGATGGTGCTGGCCCCGATAATGGTTTTTACTGGGGGAGGGGAAGAATCTGTAAAGACCCCTATCCGCCACAACCGTTCTCAGCAACAGTTGGTTTTACGTGAAATCGTTCCCCAGAACCTGTGTCTCTGCCTGTCCCTGCGAGTGTGGGCCCTGCTCTGCACACCTCGCAGCCTGACCGTGTGCTGCCCCAGCATCTCCAAGCCCTACAGTCCTCACCCTTCCCTTCCTGCCACGGCCCCTCGGGCATGGTCTGTACTTGTCAGTTTGCTCTGGAACCCTCCGCTGTGTGTGTTTCACCCCACCTTCTACCCAAAACTCCCTTTTCAAAGTCCCCACTGACTGCCACACTGCTCAGTCTAGCAGTCACCCCAGGTCTGCTGACCTGAACTGGGGTGTCTACTGCACCAGTTGCTCCCCCAGGCCCTGCTGGTCCCTGTTCCCTGCCTGGCCTCCATGGTTACAGGCCCAGGAGGCCTCGTCCTTCACTGTGCTCAGCAAAGGACGCTCGGCCAGCCTCAGGCCTCAAGGCTGTTGGGTTTGCCAGGCGTGCTTGGGGTCACCTCCCATTGGCCCGCCCAGCTGGCCCCGACACCTGTGCTTGACCCAACCTCCAGCTGGCGATGCTAGACCGCAGCAGATAAACACCCCTTCCCTGTGACAGATGGCGGGCAAAGGTGTCTGTGGCAGCCGCCCAGCCCCGGCACGACCCTCGAGCTCATTTTCTGTGGCCACAGGCCAACCTGATAGGCGCGTTCCTTCGACTTTGCAAGTGACGTCCCTTCCATCTGAAACCTGACAGCCTGTGGGACTGCGTCGGCCCCGACCCAGGACTCAGTTTGCAGCATGTGGTGACCCCAGTCGCACTTTGTACCTCGCTTCCTCTACGGACCACAGAGTGACAGCTCACGCCCCATCTCCACCAAGATCTGTGTAACAGGTTTCCCACCAATTCATTCAGAGGGGTTGGCACCCAGGGAAGCAGAACTGAGCCGGGACAGCCGAGGGTTTCATGAGAGGAGACTGGGGGTGGGCTGTCTCCTCGGGTGGGCTGAGAACTGCCGAGCTCGGGCTCCGTATTTTGGAAACTGACGGCTGGAGGTTTTATGTACTGGACTGGACTTCTGTGATCTCACCGGGCTCTACTGAATTCTCCCTCGAAGGAGCCCTTTGCCAGTGCGCCTTGGCCTCTGGTCAGCCAGCCCAGCACACCTGACGGTACAGCCACAGAAGCCAGTTGGACGAGGCTGGTCGGCAGCTGGCAGTGAAGGCCAGACTGCACTTGAGAGCTTTGCACAGTATGCTGTAAGGACGTAAGGCTGGACTGAGGCCTGAGGCAGGACTGAGTAAGGCTGACGTCCTTAGGCTGCTTGTACACACAGACTCCTTTCCAGGGTCAGAAAGAGTCAAGGTTTAATATCTGCATTTATTTAAAAATATAAATATGGAAAAATAAATAATTTGGACGACTAGCTTGAACGCCCCTAGGTCTTCACCCCTCAAAGCTGATGTTGTTTCCAAGGGGTGGGATGAAAGTGCTCGGTCCTACACGCCCCCACGAGAGACTTCCCAAACGCAGCCACGTTACCAAGGGGTGGATTCTAAGCTCCCCGGTTTCTTAGGCAAGGAAATGGGCGGGTGATGTTAACGTCGCTCCGTGTGGTCCGAGCGGCCAGGGCCGCAGTGCCTTCCCACCAGGCTGGGCAGGTGCGGCAGAGGTTGGGGAGGGGCTTGCTGCCTGGGGTGGCGTGGGCCATCCTGGGGAGTGGATCTTCAGCCTGTGACACCCACTCAGCTCGGGTGGGTTCTGAAGCCCAGGGAACTCGGGCCTCAGCGAGCGGCTGGACCCTGCAGCCCCACGGGTCCCAGGGGTGGCCCTGGTGTCTGTCTGGTGGTGCTGAGGGGCTGCCGCAGACTGCACAGGGAAGACGGGCGCCCAGCGTGAAGACGAACAGGAACACGGAGGGGTCGGAGGGGGTCAGTGGCCCACGGTTGAGCCGACCCAGCTGGACCCAGAGTGCTCTGTGGGATGCTGCTATGTTGGTCACAAGCTCAGTCTGCTTGAGAAGGGAGGTGGGGCATGTGTCAGTGGGGACGCCGTGTTAAGAGCACGTCGTTACTGAAGCGGGACCCATTCTTGGAGAGAGCCTCCTTGCTGGGACAGCGACCTTCACTGCCACCGTAGCACTGCTGCCGAGCACACTCCGTTTCCTCCAGTTACCTGGGTCGGCACCGTGCCTCGCTCAGGAAACCGTACAGATGGTGCTGGAGTTTTGGCTCTTCAGTGCCTGCTGTCTCTGAATTTCCTTGGAAACCCGCCTTTTGATTCCCGTGAGGTACAGTTCCCGGTCAAACTTGCCGGCAGCCAGCGGGATGCTGTGGGGGGAGGGCCGTTGGGACACCCCGCGCCACAGCAGCCAGCGCTGGCTCAGGCACCTGTCTGCTGTGGCCTCTCGTGCGTGTGTGTGTGCACCTGCCCCGTTCCTGGGAACTGCCCAGAGGCCCTCATCTCTCAACACTGTCCCACCCCGTCCGCCTGTGGGCTCACGGCCCGCTTCTCCATGACGCCCTCTGGCCCAGGCACCGCAGGCCAGTGGCCGCCTCAGAGCGGAAAAGAGGCAGGGCACACACTTTGAGTGGCATCTGCTCCCGCCGGACCCTCCACGCCACCTCAGAGCACGCACCCTGAGAACCCAGGGACCTGCCCCCCCCTCCCTTGCCAGGAGGCCCCACGTCACCGAAGGCCCCAGGCACGGCTCTCTGGCACCCCAGGTCTTCCCACCCGAACCACTCAACACAGCTGCACACATCTGGACTGCACATGCCCCCACTGTGCCACCTACCCCACCAGGGCCCCACCAGCCGGTAGCACCAGACACTAACTTGTCTCTCCCGGGCCTCACTCTGACACGGAACAGGCCATACACTGGGCGGTGGTCGGACGTCCTGATGCTGGGGCAGGACGAGTACCTGACTGGATAGATGTCATCCTGGTGCCGGCTCCGGTACATGACCCGGTCCTGCAGGAGACCGGGTACACGGGCCAATTACTCAGCCATGTGCCTGCCTCTCCCCAGACAGACCCGGGCCGGACCCCGCTGGAGCACCCCCCAGGAGCCGCGCTCCCGGTCCTCTGGGTGGTCTCAGTGCTGCCACCATGGCTGGTTTACTGAGCCCCTCAGGAAAGGGTGGGCCCCTTCTCCAGCTCTGAAGACCCTGCAGGCAGTACTGTCTCCACCCGATGGAGGCTGTGCAGGAGGTGACCAGTTCTGGGCCTGGGGCCTCGGGTCGGGCAGAGAACTAGGAGAGGCCACAGGGCACCACGGGGCCCCTTTCCTCCCCCAGGTGCCTGCTGGGGAGGGTGCTGGAGCCCCACGTGCAGGTTCGCTCAAGAAGCTGTGTGAGCCTCGGGGCGTGTGCCCTGTGCCCGGCTTCTGAGGGTCCCTAGGGGTCAGACCGTCAGCACCCTTGAAGAAGGCCACATCAAGAGCCAACGAAGGCTCAGAGGTGGGCGGGGCCCAGGCCCCACATCACCGTCAAGCCGAGGGCCGGCGCTGGGACCTGCACTCTGGGGCTGTTACCATGCGCACCGCAAGCCCGGACTCAACCGGAGGCCCAGTGCCAGGGCGCCGCCCGAGCTGTGGTCGCGGGACAGCCTGTGCCTGCCCTGTCAGCCCGGGCTCTGGCCGAGGGGACCCTGCTCCGAAGCAGTCTGCACCTGGCCGGCCTCAGGGGACACCTGGGGTCTGCACCACAGCGGTCACCTGAGTGCAGCCCGGCCAAGCGGAGTGCGGGAGGAGGGGCGACGCGACCCGGAGCCGGGCGGGGCCGCGGGGCGCGGTCGAGCTCTGGTCGCGCTGGGGGGCTCTCACCGCCGCGGGGTGTCTCGCCATAGGAGGAGGCTCTCGCCCGGCGGCGGGGTGGCCCTCACCGTGTAGGAGGGCGTCCTTTGCTTGGAGGTGCTGTCATAGGTGTCCTTGCCGATGTCGAACTTGTACGAGGGGAGGAAGTGGATGTCCGGCTCCCGGAATCCCTTGAAGACCGTACCTGCAGCCGCGCGAGGCGGCTCAGACCCCCGAGC